TAATTTAAATAAATTTAAATAATTATTTATTTATATTTAAAGGATGCTAAAGATACTACAGATTATTTAATTAATTGTATAGCTGATTGTGATACATGCTGAAATAGTTCATATCTAGCATGGATACGTTTAATACAAATTAAAGCATATATTGAGCTATTTATGATTCATCTTACAACTCATGAAAACTCAGATGAGCATAAAGATAGAAAACATTTACGTGAAATTTATTTAACAGAACAAGATTGGGGTTTACTAAAAAATCTTATACAAGTTCTTGGGCCATTTGCAGAAGCCACTCAATATTTGGGTGGCTTATACTATTCAACACATAGCCTTATGTATCGTGTTATTGAAAAATTAAAAGAAATGTTTAAGCCGGTGATCATTAATATGGATGACTTAAGTATTGAAGATAAAAGGATGTATTTGATGATAATGAAGAGCCAACTAATGAAGAACAAATTATGCTAAATGATTCTATTAATACTACAGACTTACTAAGTGAAGTTAAAGCAAAAATATACACAATACTTTGTTATTATTATCCTAACCCGGTACTTCATGGATTAGTATCTGCACTATTAGATCCTCGACTTAAATCTTTAGATTTTGTTAAGGTTACAAATAAATTGGCAGCTGAAAGAATTCTTAGAAACTTATATGATTATGAAAAACTATTAGAAAATGAAGAAAATTTAAGGTATGTATAATTTTATGATTAAAAACTTATTTTATTTTATTTATATATTTTTTTTTTTACAAAATAGTGAATACAAAAATCAAGATTCAAACAATGCTAACAAAATGGATGATTGTACTCCTAGCAATGATCTTCTATATACTCTTTGTTTACTAAAATTATTAGAAAAAGACGATTCTCAAGTAACAAATGAAATTAAAGAATATTTCAGAATTCCAGAAATTAGTTTGAGAAAAAATCCTTTAAGTTGGTGGGATTTGCATTCAAAAAAATTTCACATTTTATCTAAATTGGCACGAATATACTTGCCAGTCTCTGCAACTTCAACCCCTAGTGAGTGTTTGTTTAGTGATGCTGATAATTTATTAACATTAAAAAGAACCTGAATTACATCTGAACTATTCAAAAGGATGATGTTTTTAAAGAGAAATGTTGAAAAATGTCAGAATATCCATTCTTCTGAATAGTATAAGCATATTTTTTATTATGTAGAATTTGCAAATTTCTGAATTCATAATAAATATACTATGAATTAGCTTTGTAAATGTATTACGTACAAATTTGCTTTGTAAAAATAAGTATCATATATTGAAATTAGCTTTGTAATAATAATAAATAGTGCTAATGTAAATAAAATTATATTAGTCAGATATCTGTTATATAGATAACAGATTTATTATCCTATCTGGTCTCAGATATTGGTTATCTTTTCAGGGGTCAAATCTGGGTCAGATAGGATTCAAATAGTCAGATTGCACCTCTAAACTATGTAAGTACCTTTGTTATAGTACCCTTCCCTATAATTAGTACCCTCCCGGACACTATTCAAGAAATTTGATGGTTGATTGAATAGTATCAGAGTACTGTAGTCAGCGCCATATGGTAAAGATATAACTGATAACTATACATAATTATTATGATAAAATTTAAAAAATCTATGTAAAAATATATGTAAATATATATAATTGTAGTAATTGGCTGTTTATGATGCCATGCTTTATTTATTTATTTATTTATTTTATGCTTCCATTTTAAAATGGTTTATTTTTTTTAATTTTACATCAGGGTTCGCAATGATTCTCGAAATTGCCTGATCAATGAATAAGACAGTTGTGATGAATTAAATTTTGTTTAAATTCAGTAATCTCATCTAACAATGAATTAATTTCAGTTTGTAAAGGTTCAGAGGTTTCAGAGTTTATCCAAGGTTCGAAGTTCAGTTTTTTTCTTATATCTTTTATTTAACCTAGAACGAAGCTTATCTGACAAAATGCTTGGTAAATCAATTAATTTGGTATGTCACTCCAAATATTTAGAAGTTAGGGCTTTATCCATATTATCATTTTTTCAGAAATCAAGGCCAGTTTCTTTTTTATATTTTTTATATAACTTGGAATAAATCTCATCTATTAAAATATCTGGCAATACAATAATTTTAATTTGCCACTCCAAATATTTGGAGGTTAAGTTTTCATGTTTTTTATTCTGTGCTTTGCTCATTTATGTTACTGTTGCAAATTATTTTAAATTAAATATTGACTTTTTTATAAAATTTCTGCATCATGTACAGTACAAGTTAATATGCATAGTATCAATATATTAGAAAATACATATACAAAAGTAAACCGATTATATATGCAAAATCAGCCAGTTTTATTGATATATAATAAAAATCAGGATATATTTTAAAAAAATAAATCTAATTATTCTGGATCTGAATATACTGTGTAGCTTTTTGCTTTTTAAGTTGTTCTGATTTAGTTTTTGGCACATTCAACAACATAGAAATGTTAACAATTATAATGTTTTGTAAAAGTAATAATGCACCTACAAACTGAAACATATCGGTTGGCTGTAATGGAATTTTGACTGAGCACAAAACAGTAGAGACAGTGAATTTCATCTGTATCCTTAATTAGAATGTTCAGGTGCGTTATTTTTCTAGCAATTTGAATTCCAAGAATTCCAAACTCATTTTTATCTGGTTTGCATCCTTTGTGAACTCAGGTCATTCCGTCATTCATTTCCCTCCGGAGCTTCACATCATCATTCTCTTCTTTGATCTTAGTACAGACTATATGTGAAGATTCCACAAAGATGAGTTCATATAATTTCTCTTCACACTCTTTGATAAACATAACATTGGGTCTTTTACCCTGTTTTCCATCTCCTTTTCTGTCGGCGCTAGCTACACTTTGTCGCTCTGCGCTGAATAAAATAAATTTAAGTTTATTACTAACATATAATCTAACAATATAGCAGAAACTTACGTGCTAAGCAAGGCGATTTTTCTAACTGGGAGCTCTTTCAATGTATATACGTTTTACATGTAGAAAATAATATACGTATTATATATATACTACATAACTGATAAGTATACATAATTATTACGATTAAATTTAAAAAAATCTACGTTAAAATATATGTAAATACAGTATATATAATCGTAGTAATTAGCTGTTTCGACGCCATGCTTTATTTATTTTTTTTATTTTATGTTTTCATTTTAATAAATACGTATACTGTATGCAAAAGGATTAATTTTAAGACAGTCGCGATGAATTAAATAATATATAAATAAGAAATAAATTTTTATGCTCCGGATTCCAACTTCTAATATGATTAAATCACATGATTGTTAAATACCAGTACGCAATATTTTATTGACTAACATTTTTACCAAATCATTAATAACTTATATAGTAATTTAGAAACATGTCTTTCATATAAGAGTTAGGATCGATTCTGATCGAATGGGATCGTATGTTCCTTATTCGGGTCGGTGTTAATATTTAATTTAATACGATTAAAGTTTTTAGCATTTAAAACGAAATAATATAAAAACGATATATTTTTTTTTGAAGTCTCTAACTTCACATGAGCAAGATATTATGAATGATAAAGATTATCAAGTGCTACGTACAAGGATTTCAGGCATAATGACAGCGACAGTATAATTTTAGCCAATTGGATTACCGACAAACAACCAATGAAAACGAATTTCCCTCATGCATCGCACTGGCAAATGAATCTTTATTTTTTAATGACCTTGGGAACATTGAAAACATTGAAGAAATTAAATGTCTGAATATTCGTGTGAATATATCGTATTAAGAGGCAATAATTCAATTTATTTATATATAGT